GGTGGAGGCTTGCCCCCACCGGAACCCGGCGGCGGGGCGGCCCCGCTGCCCCCCGACGGCGGCTCGCAGGTGGCAGCGGCCGCGGGCACGGTGGGCACCGGCACCGCCAGTGGCTTGGTGGCGCCGCCGCCGTCGGGGGGATCCCGACCCTTGCGGAGAAGGTTCTCGCGGTTGCGTTGCTGGACCAGGGGGTCAGGGCCAGTGGATGCCGGCTTGGGCGTCACCTTCTTGCTGCCTTTCTTCTTCTTGGCAGATGCGGCCACCAGGCGCTTCCAGGTCAGCGCCGAGATGAGCACTGACGGCCGCTTGAGCCGGCTCTCGCCTTTGCCGCCCTTGCCTGCTGGCGGCGCCCCGTAGCCCCCCAGCGCCTCGTCCCCCGCGGGCGGCGCTTTCTTCTTCTCTTCGGGCAGCCCGCCGGGCCTCCGGCCCTTGGCCGAAGAGGCGGGGGATAGAGACAGCACCGTGCCCATCCTGCAGAGCGGGGCCGGCGCCCGGGCCCCGGCGGGAACCGCGGGCGGCGCCGCTGTCGCCGCCGCCGCTACTGCAGCCCCCGGAGACCCGGCGGTTGGGGGCCTAGCCCCGGCCCGGGCGCGGGAACGGGCAGGGGAAGGTGGTTGCTTGGCTGCTCCGCGGCGGTTGCTCGGGGTCTGAGCTGCGCCAGCTGCAGCGTCAGCCCCACCCCTTGGGCCCGGTCTTTAGCAGCGCCGCGCCCCGCCTCACGCAGCCAATCCTCGCCCGAATTGCCCTTGTGACCGGCAGCTCCTCTGACCAATAGAGCTCGCATGCCTATCTCAAGTCCCGCCCCACCCCCTACCCTCTGTCTCTGGTCCTTTCCCTTCACCAGAAAGGGGAAAGGAGGAGGAGGTGGCCCTGGTTCCAAGGGCCTCCTCAGGGTCAGAGCTGGGGAGAGGGGACTGGCTGCTCTCTCCCGCCCCAAGTCCTAAGGCCCTGGGTCAGCTTGTTTTAATGCATTGGATCGTGGTAGCAGAGAAGCAGTGGGAAGAGACTCTCCACGCTGTTGATTATGTGTTGGGGGGCGGGGTGGGCAGTGAGTACCTTCATTAAGGCGCCCGGGCACCTGCTGGGTCGAACTGCTCTGGCTTCCCCAATCTGGCCATAGGTAGATTATCTCTTCGCTGTCCTCCCCTGCCTTTGTCCCATGAAGCCACCACCGGGGAGGTTGTGGAGGAGTGCAGCAGGTGCATTCTTGCTCTGCCTGTGATGGGGTGCTGGCAGGGCCCCGACCTTCCAGCAGGTCACAATCCCCTCCTTGGGGGCCTTTGCTCTGGGGATGGCAAGACCCTCAGATATATATTCCTGAGTCTGCTGTTTGCTGGCCTGATTGTCTGCAGCTGAGTCTGTGGGGAGAGGCCCTAGGCTTCGGTCCCTGGGTGGCTCCTCTTGTGTTCTTCTCCCTCACCAACACACCCTGATCCCACATTTGGGTGGGTGATGAATGATTGGTTCCTGGCGTAAATGCTAGAAATTGGATGGATTGGTCTCCTCGGGCTCAGACAGCAGACAGCGCCTCCTGTGTAGAGGGAGGCCCAAGCCCAAGACGTTTGGCCCAACCTTCAGCCCAGCCCTGGGTCCAGGTTGAGATGGGTTTTCGTTGTTAAATTCTTCCTGCCATTCATGTCCGAGCCGTCCCCACTCTCAGCTGCAAGATATTAGGCTAGGTCCTGCCCATTGCTCCCTGGGTCTCTCTGTTTCCTCCTCAGCACCCATAAGGCCTTGTCCTCTGGGCCTTACCTGCACATCCAGGCTGGTTCTGGGTCTGTTCTGTCTGCTTTATGGGACAGTGTCCACTCTTCTCCAGGCTTGCTCCCTGTGGCTTCCCAACACAGAAGTCTTCAGTGGGCCTTGGAGGTAGGTATGATGGGGAGAGAAGCCCTTGCTTAGGGATTCAGCAAAATCCTCAGAATTATCCCTGGAATCACCTCCGTGTTCTTCATAGACCACCAAAATGACTTCCAGGGACTACCGCTGTCAGGGTTTGTGTGTATGAGTATATGTGAATGTGGTTTGTTCCGTATAGGCTGTTCCAGAATCGCCTTGGGCTGCAGTTTCTGCCACCAGAGGCACTGGCTTTTCTCTGCTCTCCCACAGCCCCTGCTCACGCACACCTTCCTGGAGGCCTATGGTGTGGCTGTCTTGTTTCCCTATCTCTTTACCACCATATGCACACAGACTTGTACCCCCTTCCTGACTCAGCACCCAGTGAGCACTTTCTCAGCAGAGTCTCTCCTGCTCCCTTACATCTGATCATTATACTTTTGCAGCCCAGATGACCTACCCAACCTCTTCTTCTCCCCCTAGTTGCAAAAAAGCGTTCCCTCTTTTCAGCTTCTATAATTGGTCCCACTTCCTCCTATAAGGGCTTCTGAGTCAGCCTTTATCTGGCACCCAAGGAACAGTAGGCTCACCAGTAGTTAAGGACAGGTCCCACTGAGACTGAGTTGCCCTAGCAGAAACACGTGGATCTGAACGGCACGTGGATCCTCCCAGTTCTGCTCCCGGGAGTCCCTCATTGACGCAAGGCCTATTACTGGTGTCACATAGGACAAGATCTTCTATGCAGCACCCACAGATGTTGCCATCATGGTACCTCCACTCCAGGCCCGGTTGTGACTTCCTATTGTCCTCTGGGTCAGAATCAAGAATTTTCTTCCCTGCTTCAGGGTCCCCAAAACAGATGCTTTAAAAGGTCTTACTCCCTTTCTCATTTTTCACCTTGTCCTGCCTCAGACCCTCTCTCTGGCTCACACACTTTCCACCCTCCTCCTTTGGTTATCCCTCTTGAATCTCTGAGCAACTACCCCTGGGCCAGAACCCTCCCTCAAACTACTACCTTGCCTTCTTCTGACAAACTCCATCTCTTTCAAGAAGCCTTTTTGGACTGATCGGAAGGGACCTAATGCTCTTCCTGAGGTCGATCTTTCTAAACTCTTTCCCCAACAGCAACTGCTACATAACAACTTGGTTAATTAAAGGCTAGGCTCTGAGTCCTGAATCAAAGATACGCAAAATGAATATGGATGAAAAAGTTTTTAATTTTATTTATCTTGAGAGAGAGAGAGCAGGGGAGGGGCAGAGAGAGAGGGAGAGAGAGGATCCCAAGCAGGCTCTGGGCTCCCGATGCAGAGCCTGACTGAGAGCTCAATCTCACAACTCAGAGATCAGGACCTGAGCCAAAACCAAGAGTCAGATGCTTAACTAACTGAGCCACCCAGGAGCCCCTATGGATGGAATTTTTAAAGGACAAGGAGACAAAATAATCAAAACAGATCCTAAAACAACAACATTTCTGTTATTAAAAAAACAACAACAACATTGGGAAGCCTCGGTGGCTCAGTCAGTTAACCGTCTGACTCTTGATTTCAGCTCAGGTCCTGATCTTATGGTCATGAGTTTGAGCCCAGAGTCCAGCTCACTGACAGCTCAGAGCCTGGCTGGGATTCCCTCTCTTGCCCTCTCTCTCTCTGCCCCTCCCCACTCTCTCGCTCTCACTCTATCTCAAACTAAATAAATCAACTTAAAAACAAACATTTACGGAGGAGAGAAGGAAATTATGTCTCTACAGGGTGGAGGCCAAGGGGAATAGGTATAGTGAAAAGAGAAAAACTTCAGGGAGAAGATGGGCTTTATAGAAGGGTGGTGACTTTCCCACCGCATCTGCAAGTGTACTTTTCTAGTTGGGTTATGTTTAGGGTCTATATTCTGTGATTGATTCAATTAGTATTAGATCTGTATTAGTATCTGAATGTCACGTCTCCTCTGTCCATTTCTCATGGATGCGGGTGCTCCTCTGGGACAGTGCTGGCTGTATTAGACTCCCAGAGATGAGAACCCCGCCTCCCCCAGACCAGGCTCCTT